TTCCAGTAAAGGAGCCCGTTACTTAATGCATTCTATAGAGAATGGCATACCTCATGTAGAGGGATCAAGCAAGAATGATGGAGGCAAAGAAAGAAAGAGGGAAGTGGAAATGAGAGGAGAAAGTAAAATATTTAAACATCCTTGAACAACCTTATAATTGCCTCACACTCTCTCCACACATAATTGAATGGAGAGACATAATCGTATTTTTGACCTATCACACATTCCAAGTTATGTTAGCTATTATCTCTTACGAGAATTGCCTAATCACAGTGGATACTTCTATGCTACGCACCCTCTGTTGTTCTTTACATGAAACATGGCAAATGTGGCAGGGCCTTCACCAGCAAATGAATCACCCTTTATCGTTTCCAGTTAGTAACTAAAAATATGGTGGTCTAAACACTGGCAACTTAACAACTACATACTGAACATGAACTATGTGCAGGAGGACACTGTGCTACTCACTGAAGGAACAACAACAACAACAAAATGGTCATAGTGATCCTAGTCCTTAAGGAGCTCACATTCTAATAGAGGCCAAAAGATAAGCCACTCCTGTTCCACAGCAAAACATAAAATAGAGGAAGTAAGCTACTTAGAAGATACAGAAAGTGCCATGTGTTCAAAGATGACAGAGACCATGTGTGCTTGGAGTCATCACTAAAGGCTTTTGGCCATGTCGAGATGGCAGGATTTTGACAGAGAAAGACAGGTGGGGAGGAGGAGCCAATCATAATGCCAAAGGACACAATTCCAGATTCCATAATCCCAAAAGTTGAAACCCCAAAAGATCAAAATCTCTAAAGTCTAAAATACTAAAAATCACAATCTTGAAAGATGAAAATCCTGAAAATATTGTTCTAAAAACAATTTTGAAAAATTTAAAAGCTATTTATTTATATTTTAAAAAGGTTATTTAAGAAACATAAAAAAGACATAACACTTCATAAGCCACTTTACACAGTAAAATAGGCAATAATAACGCACGTATTTCTGTGAGCATAAACATTCAGGTATACTAACAACAGTTGCACAGGCAGAACAGTTATGAGCAGATGAACCGTATTGATAAAGAAATAGGTCAAAAGGGAAACATATAAATGCATATCACTATGGTAGGTCATTGTGGGCACCCAGCTTTATAACTGTGGTCATCTGAAACACCGTGATGAACAACCTAAGTCTTCTGAGGATCGATCAAAAACCATGATGGTCACCACCACATATGCAGTCACCCAAAGAGCTGAGATCTCATGAAATTTTATCTTTCACAAATGCAGATGTACAAAAAGGACATGTCTCATTTATTGAGAAAGTTTCAACATTTTTACACACATGCACAATACTCACATGTAAAGTTAATCTGATAAAGCACTTTCATGGAGCTAAATTTGCAAAAATGCATAATACAAATTAGAACTCTCTAACAGTCTAACTTCTTTATATCTCTACTACTAGAAATGATGCAAAGATGAAATACATAGTGTAGAAAATTATAATAGAATTCTGACAATTTAAAATAGTAAAAAAAAAAAAAAAAAAAAACTTAAGAAAAACAGACCAAAAACTAAAAAGAAAATTTCATGTATGAAACAGTGTATTACAGTGATAGGTTATAGGCAATTGCATGAAGATAGTGCATAGTAACTGGCCTAACATGATGTAATTATCCTGTGATTGTGATTTTTGAGATTTTAGACTTGAGGGATTTAGACTTTAGGGATTTTGATCTTTCAGGATTTCAACATTCAGGATTATGGCATTTGGTATTGTGTTTTTTGAGATTATGATCCAAACCAGTATAATGAATTATGTAAACATTTAGAAGATGTGTATAACTCAGTGAACCAATATTTTCCCAATGACCAATGCATCAGTGAAAAATCTATTCAAAATGTAAGACAGACCAATGGATTGCAATCTAACACAGTAGAAAATATTTGTTGACATGGTTTCAGATAGCACATTGCAATTAAACTTTAAGGAACTATCACTTGCTGAGTTTTGGTGTAATGTGAAGGGAGGCTATCCACAATTATGTGGAAAGACTATTAAAATACCACTCTCTTTTCAAACTATGTATCTGATGAGGTCAGATTTCTTTCTATATTTCAACCAAAACCTATTGCGATAGACTGAATGAAGAAATAGAGATAAGAATCCAGTGCCCTCAATAAAGGTAGACATTAAATATTTGCAAAAATGTTTAAAAATGACACTCTTCTCACTAAATATTTTTGTTTTAGAAAAAATAATTATGCTTCATACACTGTTACCATGTTAACTTGTAACGAGTTGATTATTCCTAGTTTTAAGTGAATTAATACATGTTTTCAAATTATATTTTAACATCTAATATGGCTAATAATGATAGACATGACCCACAGCAACAAAAGCTCTCTAGGGTCCTCGTTAATTTTTAAGATTGTAATTGGCTCCTAAGGCTATAGTTTGAGAATCACTGCCAAAGATTAAGAAGGCAATTGAGGTTTCAGATATGAAAGGCTCAACAAACTGGGAGGCCCCCAACAGAATGAGGAAAGTGAAGAGAATAAGCGGCTTCCCTGCTAACTCTTCAAAGTAAGTTGTTATTAAGACACCAACAGTATAATGTGAATTAGTTTGAAGGTTCTTTTTTTCCATGATGTAAGGGTTTGTCACAAAAAGCTGAACGGACTTGGGTAATGCATGGGAGACCACCTAGAAAAGGAAAAGATAAGATTTAAAAGTGAGGCTGTTTATGCTCCATACTTTCACCTTCTTTCCTTACTATCATCCAGCTACAGGGCTGTTGGCACATCCTTCATCCCTGAAGTCTGGGTTCCCAAGGAAAGACTCGGTTCTAAACAGGATGAATGTTTGTAGTACCTGAAGGTGAAATCCAGCATACAACTGAAAATAACCAAATGGAACATGCTTACATAGGGATAAAAGTTGGAATAAAAAAATTTGTTCCATTTGATAAGAGTCAAAAGTGAGCAGATCCTTGAGAGGGAGTTACTCATACTTAAGGAGTGGAAGAAAAAGCAGGAAAGAGAAACGGAAAGAAAAGTTTTCGGGAGGAGAAAAAACTCAACTGGTGGAGAGTATTGAAAACTAATGCATTGTGTGTGTGGTTGGTTTTATCCAACGCTATGGGTCAGGCATCAAGCTAGGCAGTTGACATGATTAAATTAATTAATTCTCCCATTTAATTCTCGCAGTGACCTTTAGGAGGTAGTATGAATAATTTCATTTTGCAGATGAGGAAGATGAGGCTGGAACTGTTGACCACTAAAGTTGGTCGTAGATTTGGAGAGGATGCCTAATAATGTCAAATGCCATGGAGAAGGTGAAGGAAGGAGGCAGAAGAGAAAAGGTAAGTGGGACAGATGAATAGGTATTCATAGGGACCTTCCAGAGAATTGGGCAGCACAGCATTTGCAAAGAGCTAGGGAAGCGGAGGGCAAAGTATCTTTGAAAAAAAAACTGAGGGTGGTAGGAAGCAAAAGCCTGAGAGGGTAATAGTTTTATAGGAATAGTACTGTTCTCTTATTAAAATAATTTTTTTAAAAAGTGGGAGAGTTACACTTCTGATTTGCATGAATTTTACGTACATCTGCATAGCAATTTTCTAACCCTAAGGGATCAGATGTGGTTGCAAGAAGCAGAGACTTTCAAGGGTGTCTTAAAAGTGTTTTAGTGTTCTCAATTCACTCCACCCTTCCATGGAAGTAGCTCTTATTGCTGTCATTTTCACAGTATAAGAGCAGAGCAGTCAAGTTCAGAAATCTGATTGAAAATCATGTTCATAAACCTTTATAGACTGAGTTCTTTTCTCATTGTGTCTCGAGGGCTGGAAACGTGCCCTTAGTCTTGTATTTGGGTCTATGCTGCCACACTGCAGCACTGAGGTTAGGGCACATGCTCTGATGTGAAGAAACAGTTCAAATAATTTAATTACTTATTCAGATGGTATTTTTTCCTTGAAGATATTCCAGTCTCAAATACTTGTAGATTGAATCTTTTAATAGGGAAAGGAGGTGAGCAAATTGTTAATATTAATAATTTATGTCTTTCAAATGATCTTTTGAAGTATGCATATAATTTGTGAACATTAACTTACAAACCACCCTTTCTGGAATGAATTGTGTGATAATTACAATAATTGTAACAATTATTATAATAGTAACAATCTTCTTTCTAGATAGAGCACTACAAATGAAAGAACAAAATCAGATAAAAATGAGGGGGCTCTGTCCTGACCAGCAAAAAAGGCAAGTGGGATTATCTCTTGGGTTCTCATTAAGTAACATGTCATCTAACTGCTTAGCTTGGCATCTTCCACTTTCTAAGATCTCAATAATTGCTAAGTGGGTCTGAAATGGTTCCCATAAATCAGTGTGTGTGACAGAGGCATATAGCATGTTAGATGGTGTAGATAATCACCCCTGTGTAGTGACTTAATGAGGCTGGCAACGTCTCTCCACCTAAAATCTCTTGCCAACTAATATGCCACTGTACCTGAAATTCCACTGTGGTTGATTCTGATTTGGGCCTTTTAGTTACATCCTAATTTCTAATCAGTATTCATATTTTCAAATTCAAGCATCCCCTCCACATTCTTGTTAACCCACCATGGTAATTTATTATTAATACACTAACAGTATAGTGTGAATTAGTTTGAAGGTTTTCCTTTCTGTGATGTAAGGGTTTGTCATGAAAAGTTAAATGTACTTGTATAATGCATGGGGAGGTTTCCTTAAAAAAGAAAAGAGATAAGCTTTAAAAGTGAAGCTGTTTATGCTTCATAATTTCACCTCCTTTCTTTACTGTCACCCAACTGCAGGTCAGTCAGCAAAGACTTCATCCCTAAAATCTGGGTTCCCAAGGAAAGAACTCAATGACAATTTGCCCTTGAGGATGTCAAGACCAAAACTGCAAAATACTAATTTTACTGAGGTAAAATACTAACTTTCTCCCATGTTAGTATTTTATAAAGATGGGGAAAGATTTACCCAGGGAAACTCTTGCAGGAACAGCTCTTCGGTCAATCCAAAATGAAACCCATGAAAGCATCACCATCAGTATGGCTGGGAAATAGGTTTGCAGCACAAAGAAGAAAATATGCCTCCTTAGCACAAAGTTGATGAAAAGCCTATTGTACCAACCTATGGAAAAAAGCCAAAGTTTTCATTAGAGCAAGCTTCCCCTTAGAAACACTGCACTTAGTGAAATGACCTGCTTCTTTAGACTCCAAGCCCTTGGGGACGTGGAATTTGACATACTCGTCTCCATTTAGTTGGGCCTGGCACTCTGTCAATGTTTGTTCAACCAGCTGAACTGCAGTCTGCTTAATTATTTGACTCAAAGATCTCCTTTAACTTCCAAACCCGCAGTTTAGGGATGAATAGCAGTTATATTTTGTGGGATGGCCTCTAAAGATCTTTCTCCACAATATATTGTGCTGTGGTGCTTCTGCAAGAGGGAAAGTCTTCAATACATGACTAATAATGGCATAAAAGAGCCAGCAAACCATTTATTAGCTATAACAAATGAAAAGAAACATTTATCTGAATGAAAAGATTCACAATAGGTACTAGGTCATTGGATTTTGACCTGGGAGGGAGACAGCTGGGGATTCAAAGGGGAAAGAAAACGACATCCATAAGCTAGTTTTATAATTTTAAAGTCTCATGAATACCATAATTTGTGTATGGCAAATCTGCAAAAAACTAACCAACTGATGTTTCTTTGCTTCTTATTGAAATTATATAAACTCATGTTGGTAATATTGATTAATTGTGCTAATTAAAAGCACCATTTGTGGTCACATCCACACGCACATTTTGTTCAGGTTTACCTCTCCCATTGACTACAAGGAAGTTTAAAGCCAAATTTTCAGACATCTACCAGACTTCTCTGAGCACCATTCTTTAATGACCACGTACCAGGATATATAATACATTATCCTTCTTTTTCTTTTTTTCTCATACCTTCTATTGTATATTACCTTGCTTTATTTCACAATAACTATGCGCCAAACTTGTTAAATCTTTACTAAAATAAGGCAATAAATGAGGAAACAAGAAAATACATCTTTTATGAATAAGTAGCAAGATTATGATTATTTTTTCCGTGATAAATTCTGTTTATTTTCAGACAACACTATTCAAAATACAGGGACTATAGGTCAAAAGTTATAAAATAAAAATCATAGGTATTGCAGAGTTGGAAAACCCTTCTGCTAGTCTCAGTGGTAATTTCTTAGAAACCCAAGATGGCAAACCTCTTAGATGGATCACTTAAGTACTTAGGCATTTGGCCTGCGAAATACACCCGGCCAACCCACACTGAACTGGCAGACTCCACTCTTAGAATCCTATTCTCAATTCAATGTTCATTATCTTTTTCTTCCTTACCTAGTTCTAAGCTTCTAACAGTCAGTTGATACATGTTCAGGAATATCAAACAATTTCATTACCAGGAGTAATAAAAGATACATCGCATAGTACATTATAAAGTTAAAACATAAATTATTTTTTAAGTTTCTCATTGTTTTGTATCACATATATCACAGCCCCAATTTATTACTGTATACCACCGAGAGTGTCAGTGATGGCTGTAGAGTACAATAACAGCTATCTGAACTTACAACTTTATATAATTATTGTCAGGTGAAAAGAAATAAGGAAAACCTGTGAAAGAAATTCAAAAGAAAGACACTATTACTGTATATGGTTTTCTGTTCATTATTAACTTGAAATAAAAGTAGTTAACTGCATCCTTTCTTTATTCATACTTTTCTGGAGAACACCTTTTTTTTTTTTCCCTTTTGGTGGGGTGGGGGCAGGGTGGAGTAACCAGGAAGTAAAACTGCTGCTCTGCCTTGTGGTTTTAGACTAGGAGTGGTATTTTAGTGGAACCTGCAGGTCATGGGGAGTCCATTTCCCTATCAGGAAAGGTGGTGCTGCCTTGGAACGTTGTGGAGACTTCATTTTGGGTAGTACAATAAAGAGGAGTCTGATTCTATTTTTGATGTTTGACTGAGAAAAGCTCTCAAGCCCAACTTCTCCTTCTGCCCTACATCTGAGCAAGTTAATAAAAAAGACTAGGTCTCCCTTTTTTGGCACCCGTGAAAAGTTCAAACCATGCATCCTGTCCTACGACAGGCAGCCTCACCCTAGCTGCACCCCCTAGCTACCATAAAAACGCAAGCCAGTAGCCCCTTCCTGTTCTCTCAAGCCATTTTTCATTTCAGACCTGCTTGGGAACCTGCCCATCTCTCTCTAGAAAGCCTCATTATGTGAGTAATAAATCACTTCATACCCTTTTGTCATATGTATGGCATCATCAGTTTTGGCATCTGAACTAAATTTTCGATGGGGACAAGTACATCTGCCTCCATCAGTTTGCCATACAGGAGAAAGAAGAGGAGTTAATAAAAGAGAGAAAATGACTAGAGAGTTGGCACCCAAGGAAATGGAGGACTGGGCCAGTATTTGGGGAGTCAGTCCCAAGACAAGAATAAAGAAGGTTTTTATACCTAGAGATAGTCACCTTCACCTTGAAAGTAGGCCTTAATACTCTCTATGAAAAGGATCAAGATAATGTGAATGAAAACAGGATGATGATAACAGCTACTAACTAATATTTATTGAGCCTCTATTATATGGCAGACAACATTCTAAGGTACTTAACTACATGACATCCTGTAGCCTCACAACCCTGTGATGTAGAGAGTATTTTGAAACCCAATTAAAGATGAGAAAGTTAAGGGTTAGAGAGATTAAGCAACTTGTCCAAGGTCACGTTGCTAATAAATGATAGAGACAGGGTTTGAACTTAGGCAGTCTCTTTCCACTACTTACACATTTAGCCACTAGATTATGCTATGAAAGAAAATTATTCAATGCATCCCTTAGGGGCAGGAGTCATTTCTTTTTTCTTTGTAAATTTATAGTACATGATTTTGAGGATTTTGAGAAAGGGAGCAGGAGGCAGAAGCCCTCACCTGCTTGTTAATATTGCCAGGTCGTGGTGATTTTTGAACAGTGGCAATGGTAGTGGTGAAGGCCAACGGAAAAAAAAAAAACCCAACACCCTGTTGTTCGGCTATAAAATGGAAACTAAGGTCCTATAACTATATTTCTGGCTCTTGTAGCCAGAGTCAGATGTATAGTTTTTCCATAAAGTTGTTTTGGGAGTGGTGGTTGTGGCTCGTAGTTGTAAGGATAGAAGTGAAGAAAACAAATCAAAAGTTATTTTTGAGGAAGCTAAAATACTTAAACAGGAAACTAGTCTGAAAAAGACACTTGAGTTTGACTGTCAGAAGATTATGTTTAATGATTCGTGGATAATGTGAGGCAGAGCTATCACATGCTCATGAACTAAAGTAAGTTTCTAAGTGTAATCTTTCCGAAACCTAAGGGATGGTTAAATGAACCCAGATATGATTATTAATTTAATACTTGAATACAACTTCCAAAATGCTTCCCTTCTGCATTTTTCCTACCATCTCTGTCATTTAAAAAATGGGTATATTGTAACAAATTAAAAAATGCAAAGATTGAAAATCTCCCAGTTAGTACCTACTTCTCGGACGTATCTATTGTTAATTTCTTCACACACACACACACATAAACACACACACACACACACACATGATATGTATACATATGTACATAAACACTCATAAATATGGAAATACATTCTTCAATAACAAATATGGGATTTTTAAAAATATATTCTTCTGTAACTTGCTTTTAAAAAATATTAATGTATTATGGATAACTCTCCATCTCATGTTACACAAAGCATGTACATTTGAACCTAATTCTATTTTTTTCATTTTTCTTAGGAACTGAAATGCTATTTCTTAAAAATGTAACTACATTTGAATGTCAAGGATGTGGAAGTTCATTTTAAAATGCAAGCATCTTTGGAAGCAGTAAGTTTTTTCATGCCAGTATTCTGCCCAGCTTTAGAGATTCTAAAACCATGATCAGAAAAAGACAAAAATCAACTAGTGTTGGAGCTGCCTGGTAGGGCTCAAAAAGTCTGACAAGCACCAATAAAATTATAGTAGAGCAAATGGAATGACTTAGTGGTAAAGTTAGAATTTTGAAGTGAAATTTAACTTCTTGTTAAGAGGATGGTTGGATATATGTTACTGGATAATTGTGCTTTAAAAGCTAAAGAAATGCCATTGTTATTATTGTATGTTTTGTATATGTTCTGTGCAGGAGACAATTCTTTTGCATTTCTACGCTTTATATATATCACATGATATTAGCATTAAACATTGCAAATATCTATTTACAATTTATCATATGCCAAAGTTATTTTATCATAGCAATAGTAAAATGAAAAAACATCCTATACATTATACTTCACATATATCATGGTTCATTGCACACATTCTTTTATTTAAATATTAATTTAATTTAGGATTAAGAACATTAAGAATCCTGACAAATATATGCATATATTTATTCATATAGAGAAAGACAAAGTGAGAAAAGAAGGAGACGGAGGACAGAAAAATATATCAAAATAATAATATAGTTTATCTCTATGAGGTAGGATTACAAAGAGATTTTCCTTTAAATTTTTCTGAGGTCTCTTCAAATTATCTAACATTTATTCATTCATTCAATAATTAGCCTTTGAGCATCAACTATGAGCCAGGGATATATCAGTGATCAAAACAAATAAATATGTGTTACTTATATAACCAGAAAAGGCAATAAACGTGATTAAAATTGATAGTATCGTTTGCTGAATCCCAAGCAATGTAGACAAATAATGGAGTGAAATAGAGAATTTATTCTGGGTCTAAATAGCTAAATAGCTGTTGTTCCTAAAGAATCATTTAACTTCTCTGCAATGTAAACTTCTACTTCTCTCTTAAAGTTGCAGGTTTTTAGATAAAAACTTGATAACTATTCTCCAAGATCTAAGAACAGAGTGGAGAATCTTTGAGGAGAAAAGGCACCACCATCAAGGCAGAATAGATAAAAGCATTCTAGCCAGGACAGCTCTGAAACTCAGGGATAGCTGTTGGCATACTTTCTGGCTAGCCTGAGCATGGCTGCATTGAATCTGAAATGGCATTTTACATGGATTCGGCCTAAAATGACCCAGAATATTAATATCCAGCAGGGGAATGATAGTGGAGGGTGAGGAAGGTAGAGGGGAGCAGAAGGAGGCTGCTTCCAACTTTAGTCAACGGGGATCACATATAACTTTAAAAGGTATCTTGGATAAAAGGTGTCAATTCAGAAATACATCTGTCATAGTAAAGAGTACTATATAGGCCCAATTTCAGATGGGTTTTCTGTTTGGGGCAATGATGCACTTTATGGATGGATTCATTCAACTGATTTTTATTGAGCATCTATCATGTGCCAAGCCCATTCCAGGTACTGCAGAAGAAATGGTCAGCAAGATTCCCTGCCCTTTTCCTGGCAAGACGCTCACACAACAAAGCAGTCAAATAAATGTATAGTTCAGGTGATGGTAAGTGCTGTGATGACAGAAATAGGGAACAGTGAGAAGGGAAGCCTGTTTTACACAGGGTTGCTTTGGTTAGGAAAGCACCGTTTGAGAAGCTATTTGAACAAAGTTCTCACTGAAGTGAGGGAGCTGGGCATGAGAATATGGGGGGAAAACATTCCAGGCAGAGGGAGAAGAATGCCAAGCAGAGGCCCTGCAGATGGAATGAGGTGGGCAAGCAGAAAGGCCAGTGTCGGGAGAGTAGCACGTGCTGAGGGGCAGAGGGAGTGGGTGAGTCCCACATTAGGCAGGAGACTGATCACGTTGAGAAACTTCAATTTTGTCGTAAATGTGATGGAAAGACACTGGAAAGTTTCGAACAGGAAAGAATTGTGAACTTTACGTTCCAAAGAGATTACTCTGTCTGCTGTATTGAGACCGGAGAAGTCAAGAATAGAAGCGAGGCATCTAGTTAGAGACGGCTGCGTGAGTGGGAAAGAAATGATGTATGGAAAGGTAGAGGTTGCTCCCTGTAAAACGAGAGGAATGATGGTCCTGGCCAAAGGGGACACTTGCTTGGATTCCGGTCTTTTCACATGTTGTGGTGCTCTGCAAACAGTAGATATCCAATAAATGCTGATGAATCACCCATGTGAAATGCTGTACCTGTGCTGCTATAGAAAGCTAATCCACTAGATGCACTGAAGTCTTCAATGAAGAACTGAGAAAGGGACATATGCTCTTCAGTATTTAAGGACTTGTTTCCGTGTTTCCAGTATAGCATTAGGTCATCCTCATTGTAGGCATCTAAAACATGAAAAATACCAGTCTTGTAAGTGGAATAAGCTCTTGTAAGTTCGATGAGTTCCATAACCATGTCTTATGTGACTCTGTATCCTTAGTGCCTAGTCCAATGACATGTACATATTAGGTGACACAAATATGTTTGCCAGTGAACTGATCACACACACACTTTTAGGAAGAGGAAAAATAATCTCTAAAAGTTAGACCCTGATGACTAGTATAATGTGGATCTTGTGCCCACACAATGAATTGAAACTCCCCAGATAGCTGCTCCCATATTTGTGTGCATTCTCTTAGAGTATTAAGCCAGGCCTCAGAGTGACATCGTAGCATCCCCTCACTGTCACAGGCCTGACTCCACGCCGTTAGTCCCCCTTCGTTTTTAGTTTCCTTGGATGAAATTCCAAAATGGGCTAATCTTACCAGAAATTTTCTAAAGTCAAACAGTGGTATGGAAAATTTCTAATGGCTTTGGGGCAGAGCATCTGTGGAGTAGACATCTACTGAGATTCCCAGCATTTCAGACACATTTTCAAAAATTGCAGTCAGCTTTTAAGATCTTCCATCAAAAATAGCTGATCGGTAAAAGTGATTGACAGCTCAGATGCCCTGGGATGGGGCTTTGATTAGGGGGTCTATGTCTACAGTTAGATTTTTCTAGGGAATCCAAGTCTACTTAATTGAGGATTGTGATTCATCTGGGAACGTGAATTCCAGGGCTTTCTAAATGTGGAAAGTTTGTGTCAGTCTATATAACAGCATTAGCAAGAATAGACCTTTTTAGGGAGCTGTTCCTTTACTGTGGAAACTGTAGGATATGCAATTATCAAAATGCTTTTCCCCTGAACCTTCTCCTTTAACAGACGAACTACCATCAACCTTCATTAAAAAAAAAAACAGAAACAAACAAACAAACAAAAAACCCACAACTGTTTTGGTTTTGGATAAATATATCAATATTTTAAAATGCTTGTTAAGAGCATGCTTATTTACATGTGAGTATGTGACGGTGTGTTCAAATGATGTGTACTCACTCCACCAGGAAGTGAGACTTACAGCTTTCCAGTTCAAGAGAACAATTTTGAGTGTCAAGAGGAAACCTGCTGAAATCCATAAAGCACATGGCCGAAACCGTTATCCTATAAAAAGAATGAGAAAAAGAAAACTACAGATCATTTAACCACCTGGCCAAACGAGCACGCAACACTGAAGCTTTCTTACTATTTGCCGGTTCTGTGTGTTTTTCTAGAATAATGCGAAACAGGCAGTATTATCTTCTGTCCAAATAACATTCAAGGAAGCAAACTCAGGAGGGTGGATGATTTTCTTAAGACACAGAGTCAATGAGTGAATTCAGCTCTCATACCTGCTTCTGAGTTCACCATTTCCTGATCAGCCCCCTCCGTATTTTCTGGCGCTGATGTCTCTAGAAAAACACTCTTCAAAGTGAGAAGACTTTTAAACAGATTTAAATATTTTTTGCTTTTTGGAAGATGCACACATAAATAGTCTGTAGTAACGAAGGGTTGGAATGGTGGCAATAAAAATCTATAGTTAAAGGTTTCCTTCACAAAGCAAGTTTACCTGAGGATATTCTCTTTCCAGTAGTGAGTGAAAAGCCTGGAGCATTCTTAGTTATAGATCCATGTGCACAATGCATAATTCAGATAGTATTAAGCCAAAAGGCTTGCATACTGATGAGAATTGTTTTTTCAAATGTTATATCCTCCTAGATTTTCCTGGCTTCAGGCAGAGGCTGCTTTACTATGACCTTGCCTCAGAGTAGAAACTTTGGTACCCACAATAGCAGATCAGAGGTTCATAAAAGGCCCCTGAGCAGGTTTTCAAAAAACAAAGGCAACAGATGCTCCTACCTGTGGTGCCCTTGAGTTAATCAGAGGAGTAGGGACATTTTATCTTCTGTGGGTTAATTCTACTGTCAATAGTCAAACAACAAAACATCAAGCCAAGGATTACTTTGTGCCACAAAACATATTCGTTTTGGTGTATTCCTAGTACTTTAAACCTAGAAGGGACCCTCTGAGGTGTTTCAGTCCACTTCCTTCATAGTACACGTGAGTGACTTCATGACCAAGGAGGCTAGGTGGCTAGGCAGTGTCAGAACCAAGCCGGAACCAGGGGATCTGGCTCTGGGCTTGGATTGGCTCTACTGTTGGCTGGAAGAGCTGTGCTGACAACAATTTTGAGTTCCTCCTGTGTTAGAGAATCTCCAAGACCGCTCTCAGGGTCAGCGATTCACTAGTATGACTCGCAGAACCCAGCAAAGCTGTTGTCATCTTGGTTACCTATATTATAATGAAAGGACACAGATGAAAATTGACAGTAGAAAAGGGGCACAGGGCAGAGTCCAGGAGAGATCAGGAACATATTTCCAGTTGTCCTCTCCTAATGGAGTTATGTGGTTGGTGCTTAATTCTCTCAGCAATGATATGTGACAACACCCTGGGGACATTACCAACTAAGGAAGCTCACCCAAGACTTGGTATCTACACTTTCAACTGAGAGTAGCCACATAGTCATGACTGACCACTCACATGACTGACCTTAGTCTCCAGCCCCTCCAGAGGTCAAGCTGATATCCAGGGGCTCAAAGCCTCCACTGTAAATCACATTGTTAGCAGAAACTATCTGGCTTGGCCCCCAGCCCCCAAGTAAACAAAGATACTCTTATCAGTTAGGATATTCCAAGGGGTTAGAGGTTACCCTGCAAGAGCCTGGCAAGGGCCAAATATTTCCTGGAATGTGCAGGGTAAGAAAAATTCACTGAGTTAATTATTTACTGGACTTCCCCCCACCAAAATTAATTTAAAACAATTGATTCTTTGTCCAGATAGTGCCCTTCTGCTCCTGATTCCTACTGGGGCTTGACTCCAGTAGGTATGAGTCCGACGCTACTCCTGATTTAAAAGTCCTATTGAGGCCAGGCACAATGGCTCACACCTATAACCCCAATGGTTTGGGAGGCTGAGGCAGGCAGATCATTTGAGGTCAGGAGTTCAAGGCCAGCTTGGCAAACATGGTAAAACCCTGTCTCTACTAAAAATACAAAAATTAGCTGGGCATGGTGGCGGGCACCTGCAATCCCAGCTACTCAGGAGGCTGAGGCAGGAGAATCACTTGAACCCAGAAGGCAGAAGCTGCAGTAAGCTGAGATTGTGCCACTGCACCCCAGCCTGGGTGACACAGTGAGGTTCTGCTCCTCCCCCCACCCCCATCAAAGAAAACCCATTGAAAGTGATATTTTCCTTTAATTGCATTTTTAAAAACATTGACAGCGCTTATAAAATGCCTGGCAACAGCTCTGTGCTGAAGTGGGTAAGGAATTTTTTTTTTTTTTTTTTTTTTTTTGAGACGGAGTCTTGCTCTGTCGCCCAGGCTGGAGTGCAGTGGCCGGATCTCAGCTCACTGCAAGCTCCGCCTCCCGGGTTCATGCCATTCTCGTGCCTCAGCCTCCCGAGCAGCTGGGACTACAGACGCCCGCCACCTCGCCCGGCTACTTTTTTTTTTGTATTTTTTAGTAGAAACGGGGTTTCACCGTGTTAGCCAGGATGGTCTCGATCTCCTGACCTTGTGATCCGCCCGCCTCGGCCTCCCAAAATGCTGGGATTACAGGCTTGAGCCACCGTGCCCAGCCAGTAAGGTATTTTTAATGAGCAAAAATAATCTGGGTTTCCTACTGCTGCTATAATAAATTACTACATATTTGGTGGTTTAATACAACAGAAATTTATTCTCTCACAGATTTGGAGGCCGGAACTCTGAAATCAGTATCATGGGGCTGAAATCAAAGTGTCATAAAGGACCTTCTCTTTTAGCAGCTCTAGGGGGAAAATCCATGTGTCCTATAGCTTCTGGTGGCTGCCAACATTCCTTGGCTTATGATCACATTGCCTCCTCTTCTTTTGTATGCATGAAATTTTCCTCTACCTTTCTATTATAAGGATACTTATTATTGCATTTTAGTCCCAACCAGATAATCCAGATAATTTCTTCCCTATTTCAAGATCCTTAACTTAATCACATCTGTAAGGATTCTTCTTCTTCTTCTTTTTTTTTTGGGTCATACATGATAAGCTTCACAGGTTCCAAGAATTAGGACTTGGATATCTTTTGGGGTATCATTTTTTTACCCTACTTTAGAATTTTTCTAAGGTTTGTAGGACATTTAAAAAAGCTGAGTTGCTTGGGTTTACCAAACATTTTTAGAATTATCCATGATAAGCCACTCAATATGCACAGGACTCATTTGACTAAAGGAAAATATGGAACATTAAAAAGGGAGAGCCGTTATAGCAAAGTGTTGGAATGCACATTTTAAATTAAAAGAAAAGAAAAAGAAAGCAAATTGGTGTTAGCTTGAATGATAGCTACAGCTTCCCATGAAAAAACGAAGGAGACAATTAAGAAAAGTTATTTAGCTAATCCAAGGTTCCAAAACTGCAGGGGTGGGGTGGAGTTGGTGAGGAGGAAAACAGGCTTGTTTACCTATAATATTCTGTGCCAGATTTTAGGAGTTCCATAATTCAGCTCCACTCTATTTGTCTAACCAACATATACCCAGCCTGGGTATAGTTAGAAAATCATTTTTAAAAATCAGGATGTTAGAACCAGGGGAAAATCACATCTTATGCTTGTGCCCCAATCTCCAGCAGCATTAGACAGACAGCAACATTGTGAGTTTCATCTGAAATGAGCGCCATCAGCTTTGGTGCAGACGGCTGCAGTACAAGGAAGCCAAAGGCCATAGGCAGCTCTCCTTACCTGAGACTTAGGAGGACGTTTCCATCAGGGTGTACGCGCAGCATGATATTCTCCATAGTCGTATCATGGATGAAGGATCTTTTAGAGTGGACAAAAAAGATATCAGGCACCCAGATCTTTCTGATCAATCTATGATCAAATGTCATGCTTTTGTTTGCTGTGCTAGGAAAGGAGAGCCTCTCGTCTTTCCAGTAATGCCTGAGATAAAAAGTCATTGTAAAGTCCTAGACAGAGAGAAAAAGATACCAATCAAAACCAGTAGGAATATGGTTCAGGATGGCCACTCAACACTGTTAGTCCCAGGACTCATTCCCATGGTGTTAATGACTTTTAAGTGAATGGCTAATATTGTAGTTTCAGGTTGAAGCTAAGAAGATTGTGCTTTGAGCTTCTCCTTCACATGAAGTCTAGTGAATGTTTAGAATTTCTGGGAGTTACAATAGAATATTCAAGTTGGGGAAGGGGAACCAGGTTATAAATGGGAAGCATTTCTGTGTAAGCATTCTGGTAAATAACCTAAAGAGATTTCAGAAGAAAGGAACCTGAAACTTTACTATTTTACTGTCCATTATTTTATTGTGATTTCCTTTTTCATTCTAAATAAATCACTTTTAAAATTGATTTTGTATTGATACTCATGTTATTTTTGTTAAAGAAGTTTTCCCAAATCGAATAAACTATAATCCCACAAAAACACGGATACAATGTTTATTAGAGCTATTCGTGTAAAGCAAGTTGTCAGAAGTCCTGGGACAGAGACAGAATTGTCCTCAGCTTGAGAGACAGAAAGCATATTGTGAAATGGTAGTTCTCAAAGTTTAGCGTGCAGAGATTAACTTTTGAAGTTTGTTGAAATGGCACATTTCCCAGAAGCTAGTTCCCAGAGATTCTGATTCAGTATGGCTCAGGGATTTGGATTGTTAATGTTTATTCTTACATTGTAAGAATGTATTGATGAGAGGAAAAAACTGTACTAGCATTATATTAGAAAAAACAGTTAGTTTATTTCATTAATAATTTGAGTTTTGTTTGGCTCTCAGATGTTCCAAATATTTCGTTGTTTGAATAGAAACTCCCCCAGCTTCATCCAAATTATTGGCTGTTGGACAACCACAATTTCTTACTTCTTACTATTTTGCAATTGCTTAATTCTTACTATTTCACAATTGGTTACTTCTGACTATTTCACAATTGCTTACTTCTTACTATCTTTTTTTTCCAACGATAATCAAATTTTTCTTGAACTAGTGCATATCATAGAACTTTGGCATTTATTATACAAACAAAGGATACATTTCATTAAACTCTGAATGAGTCACCAATTAATTATGAGCTAGTTTGTCCTAGGTTCAGAATAGAGCTATATTGATTTATGGCTCTGGATTAATCAAGGAACATTAGCCATGTGTAATTTTGAATTAGGGTGAGGGCAAATAAACCGAATGGTTCTTTCATTAACATAATACAAGGAATTGTGTGGGTTACTGCACAGAGTGCCTTAATAAGCATATATTTAGAATTAGATGCTCTGTCTGATCTGAAGGTCACTAGGCAAACATTGAGTTTATGCAGTCGAATAGCAGATGCTGGTGCATGTCGGTGATACAGCAAGTCACCACACGCTGGCGCTATCATCAGGAGCAGGCCAAACAGCATTCTGGGAGGCGGGTGAGACAAAACTTAAATGGATAGAAAGTGAAGTTAGGGTGGACAAGAGAGTAGAAAGAAGTTAAATGAGAAGCAAAACCAAATAGACAAAGCAACAAAGACAAAAAAACAACACTAGTGGGAGAGGGCGAATCACTGACAATTAGAAAGCATTTTCAAACGCGGCATGTGAACTCAGTCCAGTTTGATCTGATACGGACTAGCACAGCTAACCTTATTCAGGGGGTAAAGATGATGTCCAGGTCTGGGTGCTGCTGGTTAGAAACAATAAGGATTTTAGATGCAAACTGCGTCATTCAGAAATGACTTGGATAGGCTGGGCGCGGTGGCTCAAGCCTGTAATCCCAGCACTTTGGGAGGCCGAGACGGGCAGATTACGAGGTCAGGAGATCCAGACCATCCTGGCTAACACGGTAAAACCCCGTCTCTACTAAAAAAATACAAAAAACTAGCCGGGCGCGGTGGCGGCGCCTGTAGTCCCAGCTACTCGGGAGGCTGAGGCAGGAGAATGGCGTGAACCCGGGAGGCGGAGCTTGCAGTGAGCTGAGATCTGGCCACTGTACTCCAGCCTGGGCGACAGAGCGAGACTCCGTCTCAAAAAAAAAAAAAAAAAGAAATGACTTGGATAATATGCCAGGAGAGGGGAAATAAAGGGTTGATCTCAGAGCACAACAGGCTCGAGGAAATATCAGTAAAAGAGCTGCCTTTGGGTAGGAAAGCGATAAAATCTTCTAAACCAATCTCTTTTGAGTAGCGAGTCCTCTTGGTGCTGTTCCCTTTTGGAGGGGAATGGCAAATGAATCTTTAAGACTTACATTGAACTGAAATAAATATTGAATTAGATAATGATAAAGACGAGGCAGACCATTAGCTGAAGAGTTTACAGACTGAAACAAGGTGAAACAAGGTGTAATGGGTCATAGAAGATTTTGTTCAGACTTTTCTAGAATTTTTATGTGTCCTGAACTTTTCCTTTAGTGAGTTGGAGGAATCACTATACATAAAAAAATATGGATTAAGGATATAGAGGAAAAGATTATTTGATTTTAGTGATTGATATTTTCTAGGTCCCTCCCTTAACAGCTGTTTGTTCACTTTCTGTCTCTTTTTATCTTTAATTGCGGTATTTGCATTATTACAAAAATAATACATAGAATCTAAATTTTAAAATGTAACACTCTGAAAATCACTATATATGCTAGAGTTTATGTATCAATAATACTTACTCTAAAGTATGTATAAAAGCAACTTTTGAAAGTTTTATAAGAACGCACATGTAAAATATTCCAGAAAATGGAATGAAATTCAAGGATTCATGTACATAAAAATGGCCATCAAATGAGTAGATTGGATAAACAACAAACTAAATCTTTTCAGATGCAAAATGGCGTTTGAAAAGAAAATAACTTTTCCCAATTCATGGAAGAGTTACTCTTTGGTTTGGTTTTATTAAAAAACAAACAGAAAACCAGACTGCCATGTTTAAAGTAGAAAACAAAGGACAATAAGCATCTGGATAAAAGCTGTGATCTCAAATGACTCCAAGGACCAGGTGGGCAAGTTTAATGAAAGAAGCAGGCTGACTCTAGAGCAAAGCAAGGCACGGGCTCCAGGACAAACTGGAGGGCACAGGCCCCATCTGAAGGCATTCAAACTTTTTTTTTTTTGAGACAGAGTCTCACTCTGTCACCCAGGATTAAGTGCAATGGTGCGAACTTGGTTCACTACAACCTCCACCTCCCAGGTTCAAGTTACTTCCCTGTCTCAACCTACTGAGTAGCTAGGACTACAGGTATGTGCCACCACACCCAGCTAAGCTTTTTGTATTTTCAGTAGAAACAGGGTTTCATCATGTTGGCCATGCTGGTCTCGAACTCCTGACCTCAAATGATCTGCCCACCTCGGCCTCCCAAAGTGCTGGGATTATAGGCATGAGCCACTGCTCCTGGCCCAAACATTAAATTGTTTAGTACTTTGGGTAGAATGGAGAAAAAAACTAAAATTCAAACCAAATATAAAATTGAAACCAAACCAAAACATATTCATAAGCTGCATCTTACTAGTAGGTACCAGTTAGGGCCTTTGTCATTAACACCTGAAGGTGGTGTAGGATTGATAGAAAATGAAAAAGATCCATCTAAAGATGATGATGGAAAAGACAGCAACTGAGGAGAAAGAAATGAGATAGAAAAAGCGTTTAAATATAAAGATACATAGCCATTAGGTGAGATCACGTGATAGAGTCCGGATGTTTGTTCCCTCCAAATATTGTGTTGAAATGTGATCTCCAGTGTTGGAGGTGGGGCTTGATGGGAGGTGTATTAGTCCATTTTCACACTGCTATAAAGAACTACCTGAGACTGGGTAATTTATAAAGAAAAGAGGTTTAATTGATTCACAGTTCTTCATGGCTGGGGAGGCCTCAGGAAACTTACAATCATGGCGGAAGGCAACGGTGAAGAAAACATCTTCTTCACAAGGCAGCAGAAGAGAGAGAGAGAGCATGTGCAGGGGAAACTGCCACTTTCAAACCATCAGGTCTCATGAGAACTCTCTCACTATCACAAGAACAGCATGGGGCAAACTGCCCCCATGATCCAGTCACCTCCCATGAGGTCTGTCCCTCAACATGTCAAGATGAGATTTGGGTGGGGACAGAGAGCCAAACCATATCAGGAGGTATTTAGGTCTTGGGTGCAGATCTTTCAGGAATAGCTTGGAGCCATCTTGTTAGTAATGAATGAGTTCTCAATTATTTCCCATGACAGTCTTCTCCCTTCCTCACCCCTGCTACCCGGAGCTGGTTGTTGAAAGACCCTAGTACCTCCCTCGACCCCCCATTCCTCCTTCTCATGCCATGTGATGCCTGCTGCCATTCGTGGAAGCTTCCTGAGGCCCTCACCAGGAGCAGATGGCGGTGTCATGCTTCTTGTACGACCTGCAGAATCATAAGCCAAGAAACCTCTTTTCTTTATAAACTGCCCAGCCTCAGGAATTCCTTTATTGTAACACAAACAGACTAAGACCGCAAGGAAACAGCTATTGAAAATTTGAAGCTATAAAGGCACTCTTTCTTTGGGATAGAAAAACAAACTAAAGAGGGCTCAACCAAACTCTGAAACTACGTGAACAAATTAACAGAACAAGAGTGGGTAAAAAGGAAATATATCTGAAAACAAATATGTAGGTGTTTGTATGTATAAGCTAGCAATGGTATTAACTATTCTTTCTTAGAGCAAAACAACTTAAAAAACCTAAAATCACTTAATTAAAAAATGTCTCTGGTAATTATGTAAACAAGGAAGGTGGTCCTAAATTGGGAATAGAGAAAATAAAATGGAAAATTACGGTTGATAATATTAAAACATAAAAATAGCTAAAGTGCTTAAGGGACGGGAAGAAGAAACAAAAAAGCAAGGCATGCAAAATGTCGTAAAAGACAGAAAAAGGCTAACAGGAAGGTTGAAGATAAGGGGTCAGTTTCAAGTTTTATGGATATTTCATAGAGTGAATAATACTCTAGGAAAATACAGATGCTTCACTGCAAAATTAAATAATGGCAGTCTCTTTTAGATCTCTAGAAAAATATAAGGGAATAGACAAAATTTTAATTAATTTTTTAGTCCCATGAATTTAAAAAAAGTATTTATCCCTCTGCTACTGGTTGTCTACAGGTAAGCAAAATTAATATCATTTGACATATTTGAAAGCAGTCCATCAATGCTGGTTCAACCGTTTATTATTTTATGGGCAAAGACTCATGATTTAGATTTCATATTGCACATATAGTACGGTCATCCTTCTGTTTATACAATTGTTCCAGTTCTTGCTACATAGGTAAACATATCATGATGTTCTACAGTGTTCCACCACTAGAAAACCATTGGATGGAAAATAGAAAAGTAGAAAGGGAATGAGAATTGTAATCCAGGGTAAAATGAAGTAGATAGAAGAGAGCCGAGCAATCATGACCCTATTATTAAGCAAAGTAGGAGACATAAATAACATACATAGTTAAAATGACTTATTAAAACACTAGTGATTTTAACACTGTCGAGTTTCTGTCTTTTCAGACAATATCCCATGAAGAACAATATCCCATGAAGAAACTTACCATGTTAGTCTCTGAAATGCTGTCAATGCTTTCAACATGGACATCTATACCTACTGGCACTGGGGACCCTTCAGAAAGAAGAATGGGTAAAATCCTGAGAAATGCATTATAATCATTTTAAAACCATTCAAAACAGACAGATTAATGCTCTTGATAAAAGAAGCAAAGAAAGATTTAGAGGAGTCAAGCCTGAAAAGCTTCCTTAATGAGGCTGAGGCTACGTAATGCCTGGATGTGCTACGTGGAACAGGTATGCCTATAATTCAACAGCCCTTTACATGCATAATACTATGGAAACCCAAGGTATGTCTTGCCAGTCCCTGTATCTTTTCTGTGACTCTTCCAGGAATTAACTGACATCACTTTCACTTTATTAACAAATTCCCTCTTTTGGATCCTCAAGTCCATGCCCTCGGTATCATTTTTTTATTTTGAAAGTTTTCAGTTGGCCAGGCACAGGGATGGCATGCAAATATATTCCTGCTTCAGGCTTCTGGAATACCTCAGTTGCATCTTAACTTCCATCTTCTTCCTGATATAATGGATCAATTACTATATATCCTACAACACTAATTATGACGAATTTTTTTTTTTTTTTGAGACAGTTTCACTCTGTCGCCCAGGCTGGAGGGCGGTGGCACAATCTTAGCTCACTGCAACCTCTGCCTCCTGGTTCAAGCGATTCTCGTGCCTCAGCCTCCCAAGTAGCCAGGATTAGAAGCATATGCCATGACACCAAGCTAATTTCGTATTTTTAGAAGAGATGGGGGTTTCACCACGTTGCCTAGGCTGGTCTCAAACGCCTGACCTCAGGTGATCTGCCTGCCTTGGCCTCCCAAAGTGCTGGGATTACAGGCGTAACCCGCTGCACCTGGCCAAATTATGACAATTCTTACATGGTGTTTAATGGTAATTTTGATTAAGCATTAACTTGGGAACATCTCACTATTATTCCTTCATAGGGTTCTGCTCTGGTGCTTTTTTCTGTGTATGTGCCTTTTTTCTTGAATTAGTAGAATTATTAAAATAACAGTTCATGAAAATATCTTCGCCATGGCTCCAAATAAAATGCCATGGTATTTTAGATTGACTAAATCCTCCCAATAATTCCAAAACTCCAAGGGAAGAAAAAATTTGGAAAGGTCTTAGAGGAGTGGCAGAATGCCCCAAATGAAGTTCTAGCATTAAAGTCACTCAGGCTAGAGTCTGAAACCAGCTCCACAATTGTTATGTGAATGAGAGTAAATAATGTCTCTAAGCTTAGTTTACCTGATTTATAAAATTTGTCTAGTAATACTCACCGTGGAGACTCATTTGAGGATTAGACATAATACAGTTACTGAACTTAGCTGGTAGTCAACAAATGGCATATAATAAATGTTATGACTACTGCAATTAAGCAAAAATGTAAACCTGCCCCTTAGGAATGCAAGCCGCTACTCCCAATCCTACGCACATTTAGATAATGAATCCAATGTTCACTAAAAAAAGAAAAAAAGAAAAAGATACAGTGCTTCCAGAACTTTTTTTTTTTTTTTTTTTTAAGCCAGAGAGCAACTTGCAGTCAGTACCTCATGATTTATAAATAGATCCTAGTTGCTGACAACTGTCTCTACAAGCCTGGGGACAGTCATAAAACTGTCCTCCAAAGACCTATTCATGCCACTGCTGCCCAAGCACTGAAGCCTAAGGGTTGTTTGCAGGCTGATCTGAGATGGGGGTTAAAACATAGCTTGTCTGTTAGGAATGGGTTTCTGGAAATAACTTCAATTTCTTCCTTCAGTCCTCCAGATTTATACTGGTTCTGGTGGGGATGAGCTCTTCCGTTTGCAAGGAAAATGTATGCTCTTGGGTGCTGTCTGGCCTCATTTCTTTCTTTCTTTTTTTTTTTTTTTAGATGGAGTCTCACTCAGGCTGGAATGCAGTGGCACAGTCTCGACTCATGGCAACCTCTGCCTCCTGGGTTCAAGCGATTCTCTGGCCTCAGCCTCCCGAGGACCTGGATTACAGGCATGTGCCACCACCCCTGGCTAATTTTTTTGTATTTTTAGTGGAGACGGGATTTCACCATGTTAGTCAGGCTGGTGTCGAACTCCTGACCTCAAATGATCCGCCCACTTCAGCCTTCCAAAGTGCTGGGATTATAGGTGTGAGCCACTGCACCGGGACATCACTTCTGCCTCGTTTGAGCTCCATGTCGCACTGCACCTTATTCATGGGTTTGAGGAACTGTATTATGCTCTAGCATTCTTGAGGACAGAGCAGAGAGTGAGCAGCATGTAAAGCCAAGATGCAGAATCACAGTTTGGGAGCCAGATAAAAGCTCCAAAGATCATTCTTTTTACAAAGAAGGAGCTGAGTCACAGATAGAAGGTGGCAATAAGCATATGGATTAAAATCCATGGAATTTGTAGCCATATAAACCTGAGGTAGTGCCAAACTTTTGTAAATACCTCAACTCCTCCTGTAATCTGTAAAACAGAACCAAATATATGGTACCTAGTTTATAGGGTTGCTGTGATTATGTGATAGAAAGCTTGTCAAGTTCTTATCCTAACTCCATTCAGATGTATTAAAACCAACTTCTTCGTTATCTATTGGCTCAGTAATAAATGTAACAGTGTAAATAATAATTTTTAGGTACTTTTATTAATTCAGTACCTAAAGCATTTAAAATATAGTGAAAATTAAATAAATATTAACCATTATGATGATGGTTCACTAACTAGGTAGTAGTACACACATTTATAATCCTTTTTGTATATGGAAAGATATAGCATCTATTTGGTTTTTATGCAGGCTGGAATAATGAGGGCTAAATAAAAGTTATACATCTGACTTATATAATGCATTTAAAGTTCATTATATAATATATCATCTAATCTTTTAATTATAGCTCCTTTGTTAGCTAGAGAGAACTGATTTTAGCTCCACTTGACACGAAGGAGTGCATACTCAGAGAGGTTACAACACTTGCCTGAAACCCAAAGTTAGTTAATGATTGGAAAGTAGCCAGATCCTTCTGACTCACAGTATAGTCCTCTCCTTTGACAAGCAAAGACTGTGCAAACAGCTTTTATAACTTTACCTTTTGTCTTGACTCTGTAGCCACTATCTACATACTGAAATGATTTCACTTTGAAGAAACAAAGAAATTATTATCTATAAAACTAAAACAAAAAGCCCTTAGTTATGGGAGATGTAAAAGGTAGGGAAAACATAAATAAAGAAAATGAGCTGCAATTTATAACCCAAGTTAAACAAAAAGCTCCCCTAAATTTATATCCTCCTGTTTCCACATAATGAGTCAATTAATCTTCTAATGCTTTATAAAAGTAAAAAACACTGCAGTAGCAGCTGGTTTTAATGTTAAAGCTAATTAGGAAAACACATTAAGGCAAGAGAAGTGCTGAAGTTACATTTAGCTCAAGAGGGAAGCACTATGTGCGTGTGTTTGTGTTGCAGACAAGCATAAAGAAAGAAGATAAATTAAAGCTTGTCTTTGATATCCTGCAGTCTGATTTCCCCCAAGGAAGGCAGCCGTGAGAACAGAGAAATGGGTCACTGGTATAAGAGCTTCTTATACTGCTCTGACCAAGACAGGCAAGAGAAGGTTAAGGGGTGTATTTCACAGAGCTACCAGACTGACACTTCTGACTGAATTTATGGATTTTTCTGCTCAAACTGATTAAACACACAAGTCATTTTGACACCATTTTGCCCCAGTCTATGATTGTAAGAAAAATTTCTTAATCATGGGATGATTTGCACCTGCCACTAAGCAGCACATTTCAATTGCATTTTTAATGACCCCACAAAGTCGCCTCGGGAAAGAAAGTATTTTTTAAAAAATGCGTTTTCATTTTTAAAAAATATTAAAATGTGTCTCTAACAGATCAAGCAGAGTCGAAATTTCACGTCAATTTCATGTTTTTCTGGGGGGTGAGGACAAGGTAGGGATGGAGAATGAAGGCATACATGTTTTAAAATAAAAGAGGAGAGTTGGCTCTTCCTCATCTACAGGAGTGCTTCTCAAACTGTAAGATTTAGGGGAATCACTGCAGATTTTTATTTAGAATCCTGGGTTGGGACCCGTGCATCTGCATTTCTAACTCCCAGGTGATTCTGCAGCTGGTCCACGGACCACTTTGAGTGTCCAAGCCTCTCTAGACCGCTTGGTTCAAGGTCTGCATTCAAGGATAGTCATTATTCTCTCAATCTTTCTTCCTTTCCACGGCCTCAAATAATCTCCATAAAAACCCTTTCCTCTAGCATAGGAGCGAATTTAATTGAGGAATCTAACCTGACTGGAATTAGGGCAGGTTTTTGAATTTGTGTTGAAAAGAGTACATCAGGTAGAGAGCTTCCAACTGTGGCTCCGGAGTGGCCAGTTTCAAGCCATTCCTGTGTGACTGGCGCTCCCTGGTGGCCGAAAACCCACAGCCAAGCAAATTTATCGACTGAAGATTCTGCTTGTTATATGGTGGTAGGGGAAATATTTTAAAGAGCTTTTGTAAAATCACAGAGACCAAGGTACAGAATATCTGCGTAGTAGTTGTAGAGCCTATTATATAAACTTTGGGAAAATTTGATTGGGGAAAAACAGTCCATTGAGAACGGTCGTAAGGAAGATACATAAGAGAAGCAGTGAAGAAAAGTAAAAAAAGATAAAGAAATAGAGTCTCAGAAGAAAAAAAAGAGACATATTTCTAAACTTGCTTAATCTCAAGCCTTATTAAATCTTAAATTATGATTCAACAAGTGTGAAAAATGCTCTGCAAAACAAAAAATTCAACTCACCATGATTTCATCTGATGCTGATCACCTAATACAGTGGCTCTCAAATTGTGGTTCTCAGACCAGCAGCATCACCTAGGAATTTGCTAGAAAGGCAAATCGTTGGCCCCACCCAGATCTAGTGCATCAGAGACTCCGCGGGTGGAACCCAGTAAGCCGTGCCTTCAGAACCCCCAGGTGATTCTGATACTTACTAAAGTTTGAGTCACAAATGTGATGAAATCAAGGTCAGACCTTTAGAATTGGCCAGCACTGTGGCTCACACCTGTAATCCCAGCACTGTGGGAGACCGAGACAGGTGGATCGCCTGAAGTCAGGAGTTCGAGACCAACCTGACCAACATGGTGAAACCCTGTCTCTCCTAAAACACGCAAAAATTAGGTTGGCCTGGTGGCACATGTCTGTAATCCCAGCTACTCGAGGCTGGAGAATTGCTTGAACCCAGGAGGTGGAGGTTGCAATGAACCAAGATTGCGCCACTGCACTCCAGCACTCCAGCCTGGGTGACAGAGTGAGACTCTCTCTCAAAACAAACAAACAAACAAAAAAAGAACTGGAATCAAAAGGATTTCAGGAAATTGAAAAAACAACCAACCACACCCTAAAAAAACCCAATCCTCAATGTAAGAATATTTAACATACGTTTTTGTTTTGCCTGTTAACAAGTTAGTTCTCTGCAGTACCTACATGCCTATTGCACTTCCCCTGGTCATAACCACATCATGAGAAGAGTATCTCCCGCCCTGAACACTTGCGGTATTCATTATTCATCAGAAGGATGTATCTGTTCTACTGTCAGAGGATCTTGCTTCTAACCCTCATCCATAGTTCCCTCATCTCCACATCTCTAGGATTCTCAAAAGTTGTCAGTTCAGGAATTGTGGAAGTGGAAAGCTCCGTCAATGAAAGAAGAATCAGGATGGATTTAGCTGTAAGTCAGAGAGTTTAACCTGATGATTTCCCCATACCCTGTGTATTGTTGGAAAACTTGGTACCCTCAGTGATGCAATTATGTGTACATTAAGCAGTCTAAGGAGAAGAAAGTCTTTGTTCCAATTATGTACCTGTAATATGAATTTTCATCTTCTTTACCTGCCATCGCAACTCAGCTCTACCACTTTCTGTTTTCATGGCCTTGGGCAAATCTCTTAACCTCTCTAAGACCCAGTTTTCACATTGCGATATTAAGTATCATGATAGTGCCTATTTCATAGGGTCACTGCGAGGATGGAATAAGATAGTACATTAAGGAGTATTCTAACACTGGATCAATCTTAATTGCTAGAAGTGATAAATCATTTTTAAAAGACAATTCAGCAGAGTATGTTCAGAGGGAGCCATGGCATTTGCCATACTAGTTCTTCCCCCAAAGAGAGGCATTCTAGCTCATAAGAATATTCAATAAGATTTTATAAATAATATGTATCCAATTTAAGGATTTCAGTTAGAAAATAAGTTGGTGTATAGGCAACATATATCCATTCTCTATTTATGGAACACATACTATTCACTATAGTGTGCATAGTAGGAAAATGAGTTTTTTGGTCAATTTAAAATGGATAACTCATCAATTGTTCTCACTAAAGAGACAGTGATTGTAAAAGCCTTCTTTTTCTGTTTTAAACTGATGGTCTTTACTTGCATTTTGGTCTTACTTGTTTTAAATTTTCACTTCCATTTTGACAGTATGATGGGTTTTGAGATGAGTTTTGAGAGGATAATACTCACCTCCAAATCCAGGTCTCATTGCAAAATCGTTGTCCTCTATATGGAGAAGTTGCTCATATTTCTGAGGCCGCACTTTGGTACTGTCATCTTTCTTCATTCTAGTTTCTTGTTTGCTGTTC